GTGGCCAATGTGGGGGGTGCTGTGGGCAGAGGGGTGTGGCCAATGTGGGGGGTGCTGTGGGCAGAGGGGCGTGGCCAATGTGGGGGGGTGCTGTGGGCAGAGGGGTGTGGCCAACGTAGAAGAGCTAAAGGAGCATCTTCCAGTGTTGGGGTGACATACCGAATGCAGTAGAGAAACATTTACAGCAGTGTGTGTGTGCAGCAGAGGAGAGGGAGAAATAGGGAGAGAAAATACTAAAAGGAGCTAAAAGACTCAAAAGCAATTGCCATGGGAACAGGACTGGGCTGATGGGCTGGCGTCCCAGCCACCTAAAGCCACCTTCGGCTTAAGACTGACGAATATCGCTACAGGAATAAACGTTTAACTTTTTTCAACTACAAAATAAAATAAAACTGTATTAAACCACAGGCAAGACAAAGGCAGAAGATGACCTGAGATGGAAAGCGAGGCTAGCTGGAGCTGGCCCTGCCGCTGGTGGACGCTAGGTGAAAGCTAGGCGGACCAGGGCTATGTGTGGAGGGAGGGGAGCAGGAGAGAGGGGGGTGGGCTGGGAAGACACTTCCAGACTCACAGACACCGGGGTGCAGGGGATCGCCAGGGACTCTGGACAAGCTATGGTTCCAGGCAGTGGAGATCGCCCCCGTCTGTGGAATCGTTTACTTAGTCCACAAATGCAGGCTCTTTGGAAACACCATATTTCCCTACATAATTAGAAGCATTTTGACTTTTCATCTAGGTTTTAGTTTTTGATTATGAAATATTTCATTTCTGGAAGTATGATAATGAAGAAGTAATAAAGTGAATAATCACCTAATAGCCACTATTTGGCTTTCTCAAATGTTAACATTTCTGCCATACTTACCTTTAATTTCTTTAAAAGAGATCACAAATATAGCTGAAACCATTTTCCCAACAGGAAAACCTAACTGCCCTCCCCCCCAGACCTCCCAGGGAGTAACCATCAACCTGGATTTGACATTCAGCATGTTTATCTACCTCATCTCCAAAAGGAGAGCATTGGTTGGCGTGATTTCTAATTCTCCTTTCTGTTCTAAAACACCACGTTCTGGAGTATGGTAAAGCTCCAGATGTTCTATAAAAAAGTACAGAAATCTACATTTCTACGAAATACACACAAAAATAGTTCAAAATCATCTCAAGCCTAAAACAAACTCTTGGCAAAAACTCATAGAAACTATCACAGCAGCACCAGCCCAAGTATTAATGTCCACACGCAGGTCACACACGACCTGGGTCCCGGGGCCAGGGCCCCTCAGCGTCTCACTAGTGTTCTCCAGCCTGTGAAACGAATTCAGTGCCGTGTCAAACTGTCCTGTTTTCCTTTTTGTTATTCTCTGCCAGGTTAGCACAGCAAACATACTCCTTTCCAGCAATGTGCGGGAGCAGCTTTGTCTCAAAATGCTCCTGGCTACACAGAAGTGCTGCTTCTTGACACTCTGCCTGCGTCTGCACCTTTCTCACCTTCCGAGAGAAAGGTTCAGGTATAGTTGGAGATACGTGAAGAAAATAGAATTATTCGAGCTGTGAGCAGACCGCTACTTTCACGGAGTACACCTTTACTCAAAAGGATAACAGAAACTCCCCTTGTTCAGACGTAGGTATCTGGCACACATTCAGGGAAAACCACTGACAGTGTGTCACCAACAAGGAATTCGAACTTTCAACTGAATATTAAAGTTTTAGAAACTTGCATCCACAGTGAGCCTGACAAATTCCCAATATTTAAAGGTTTTTTCCTGGTGAAAGCAGTGGTGATATTAACAACTCTGATTTCTTAAAGTTGCATAATGGAGAGCATTAAACATGTGGGATTTCTAAATTACACAACAAACTAGAATATTCCAAATGACCGATACTTAAATAGTAAAATATCACATAGGCAAAGATCCCTTCAATGTGCAAGACAGGCTTAATGTGAAACTATCACACAGTTCAGACAGGCATTCTGCTCCACATTGGAACCAATATGCACACAATGCCCACTTGTCAAGTGTTGGTAAACTATCAAAGAAGAATATCCACAATTATCTGAAAAAGCAATTAAAATACTCTTTCCTAATCACATATCTACACAGCTTTATAATAAACACTTATTGGATTATACTCTCTATATGCTAAAAGGTATAAACACATCATTACCGCAGTTAATTATAATAATTTAATCCCTGATCATCATTTAAGAACAAATGAACAATTCATTAATTAATTAAAAGTTATATTCTGTAGTTAGAGTATCATGTTTGCAAAAATCACACAAATATCAGAGGTTGATTGACAAATAGGGTCGATCACTGCTCCCCCCAAAAAAGATAATGAACACGGTTAAGTCCTGGAAGGGGCAGCGGCTTGGCACTTAGTGTGTGCCTCCTGAAACCCGGGATAGCTTCCACCCAGGCGGCACGATGTTGGTAAATTTAAATTTAAGTCCTCGAATTTAAAAGGGTATGTCTTTCCACGGAACAAAGTACCTTTTATAAATTTCAAAGGAAATAAGTTAATCTGATCAAACCGCTGTACTTTAGAAGTAACACCAAAATAACTACTTTTTCACAGATACAATCCTAAATAGGTCAAGAAAGGGAGTGACTTAAAGAGCAGTGCTCTTCCAGAAGTACATACCGCTGGTGACTAGCACAGATCATCCTCAGGAGGGCTCAGAAAACCTCCAGAGGGAGAGCAGCTCATGACCCTCGGGAACACAGAGGGTCTAGACCCGCCCTCTGAAAGACGGTTTTCATATTATAGAGCAATTTCCATGTGAATATTCAAGAAGCATCTGAAGAGACACCCAACTGCTCACCTTTGCAGCTCACTGAGTCCCCTGGCAGCGGGCAGGACGGGGTTTTGCCTTAGGAAGTTCTGTTTTAAGTTAAGATGAGTGAGGTCTTGGCTGTAGAAGAGGTTGGCAGGCAGGTGCTCCAGGCTACAACACGAGAGGTCCACTGAGCTAATACGCTGGGATGCAACCTACAGAGCAAAGACACTCAGTGTCAGAGTCATCCGTGTTCCCTCTGGCAGTTTCCTCCGGACAGAAATAAGGCAGCGCCACTTGAGGACCCAGTGCACTATTCAAGCAGCACTGCTAGTCAAAGTATAAACCAATAGAATATTTGCTTGGTACCGAAACGACTCCAGATTACAAAAGCAGAAAACAGTGTCCTTGTCTGAAAGCTACTCACAGTAACCTGGTGGAGAAAACAGGTCACAAAGAGCACAGATTTATCCTGTCAAATTCAGTGATACGAAATCTCCAACAGTTGGGTCATCATCCCCAAAACAGGGAGGGAATCTAGAGCTACATGATTTGAGTGGATTGAGATAGAGCAGAGTTGGGTAGCAGACATCGGGATCTGGACTGAACCCTTGAAAGCTCTGCGCAGTCTGACTTAAAGCAGCACAAATGAAGAAAATGACTGCGCACGTCTTTAATAATATTGGTAGCGTAGGGTGAGATTCCGCTCCCCGCCTGTTGTGAATTTTTGGCACGTCTTTCCCACAAAATTTCAGTGAGATGCTTGTATAGTCATGACGCTCTGCCTCGTGAGGCTTTCTATGTAGAACTGATTCTAAGTCTAAACGTTTATCCACACAGTCAAAGCCTCCCAAGTTGAGTGACTCCTACCATACACGGCCAGAGTCCCGGCTTCTGACCTCTGTCTGCATGCGGGAGACAGAAAGAGCACTGGGAAGCCTGTATTTCCCAAGGGCTCTCTCCAACCTTGTGGGCTACGTGGTGCCAGTTTAACCCGCAGCGCGTGGCTTCAGCCCCGCTCAGCCACGTGGCTCCCGGCCATGGGAGCGCAGAGCCAAGATCTGGGCAGATTCTGCCTCGTGCACCTCTATCTCCTCAGCAGCTAAAGCAGAAATTCCACTTCTTATCTGTAATCGACTTGATGTCCTTTTCTATTATTAAACCCCGGTTTTCCCTCTCCTGGTTGCAGAAGGTGGCGGACAGGGCTACCAGGGAGAGTGGCACTGTGGCAGGGTGCAGCTGCCCAGCACTGGGCTGGCAGGGAGGGCGGCCACGCACGCAGACACCCCTGCCGCTCCGCAGGCGCGCGGTGGCTGCTATCACCATTTCACGCTGTATGTGCAAGGGCATCCAAGTCCTCCTGGTGCTGAAAAGTATTCAGAAGTACGTTTGCGAGAAGTACTCTGCTGATGGCACGCAGAAGGTCGACGCTGCACCCGTGCAAGCTAGGAGGGTGGTGCTGTGGGCAGGGCCCAACTCAAGAGCATCTGGAGAGGGAATGTGGTTTTCCATTTTAGCAATTTCATCTTTCCCTGAATTTTCACTATTAAATAAGAAAAAGAAAACCCCCGGAAGGGTCACATCACCCGTGTAAAGCAAAGAAAATGTGGAAAAAGCCAGAAGTTAGTGGGCTTGAAAGGCAGGTGCACACGAGCACGGCCACCGGCAGGAACTTGTTCGCAGGGGGACACCAGGGGGTCGCTCACGCACACGTGTGCTGCCTGCCCCCGGGGCCCCTGAAGCACAGTGGAGAGACAAATGCCACAGCTGTGGCCTGGTGAGTGTGCTGGGAGGGCGGGGATGTTAGGGCGTGGCCGTGTGACCGTGAGGTGAGGACACAGCTTCCGCTTCCAGCGACAGGCCCTGGGTAGCGCACATGACCTGCCCGCTGCCTCGTCTCTCGAGCAGAGTAAAATGAGAGCTGCCTAGGCCACCTTGACTAGCTTCTGTCGGTATTAAAAAGTTCAGGGGAGACTCAGCAGAGCCAAGTGATGGGGCTCACACACTGTCTATGACCCTCAGTGAACGGATTCAAGTTCTAGGTCAGCTCAAGGTAGCTGTGACTAAGGAAAGCCGGGTACACTGTAGCAACAACAGACTTCTTAGGCTGAAAAAGTGGGGGTGGCGGAGGAGGGTTCCCCCACGAACCTACAGACTCTGGGAGACAGATTAAAATGAACGTGAGTCCCAGCATCTGCCCTGCCTGTCTCCTGAATGACTTGTGAACACAGATGGGGGGGAGTTCATCTGGCCCTCAAACATGTCCCCCAAAGAGCCCTGCACAGGAAATGTAAAAATGAAGATTGTGGCCTCTCGCGCCTTCCTAACAAGCCACTCCGCTCAGCACTGCTCATTTTCTCATCCGACCTCGAGGGCCTTTGTAAAATTTCTCCACTGACTTGAGCGGCCTTTCTGAGCACGGCGCCCGGCCTGCCCTCAAGCTGTCCCCAGCGCCTTCAGCAGGTTCGCGACTCGGTGACAGGAAGGAACCCTGCACTTCTCACGGCACTCTCGATGTTCATTCAGGGGACAATCATCTCTCACAGGCGGGGGAAGTTCAGAACAGCATTCCTGAGAGATTTCGCTGGTGGATACTCTCGTGCGCTGCAGTCATCCTTAGCACATGCGCAGCAGCTCACATTAGGCAAAAATGGTTCTGAAAGGCTTGGGCAAAGCAGCTGAAATGGCACAAATAATCCGCTTGTGTGAAGTAAAAAACTGCTATAAAGTGGCATTATGAGTCAGTAATTGGTCTGGCCTAGCCTTCAGTGGCTTGGGAATCATGCCCCAGGCTACAGGGAGAGTCTCCAGGGAGCTCACTAGACTTCTGTAAAAAATTCTTAACCTCAGCTGACCTAGTTTTAATTCTCACACCCTGCCCACCCATGCTCTGGGAAGGCATGAGGCTAGAGAACACCCATTTAGAATAGAATTTTATTAGTCTCTACTAGTCTTTATTATTGTGTACCAAATTTAAGCTACTTTATATCAAACAAAACTTTCCAATTTTAATAAAATTTAAATCCTCACTATGCCACAATATGCAATTATTTAATTTTACAAATATAAGAAGTGCTTTAACTTGACCCCAAAGCTTTCCCCAAATGACAGCTTGTTTCTTGATAAAGTACTAATTACTATTTTCTGAAGTCTGTTTAACAACAGATGCAGAAAACCTTCCTATAAAGTTAATTATAATATATACAGCAATAATGTCCCAGCAGGAGCGTATCAAGCTACCAATTTTGGATTTAGTCAACCCTATCTGAAATTCTGGTATCTTAACATTTCTTTGCCTTAATTAAATGATTCAGTAATTAAGGGGGGGAACCCAAGAAATACAGGAAGGGAGGGGAGGAAGGACGTTAACCCCAGGCTCCCTGTTGGGGCATCAGACTACACCAGCATAGACAACTCTGCGGAGGAATCTGCCGCACCGGCTCTGCCGATGGCCGTCGGGGGATCTCCCGTGGCCGTCGGGGGATGGGGCCGAAGGCTGCTCCACGTGTGCGTGTCACTGATTCATGAAGTGGACGGTGACAGTGGAGAGATGGGGTCTTGCGGCTTCCAAAGTTGGTTTCTTGACCACACAGACACCGAAGCAATTGTCATTCAAGAACGAAGCCAGGAGCAGAGGACCCTGGGCACAGCGCCCGGAGCAGCGCCGGCGCCCACGGCCCCTCACCGACGGAAGGGGTGGTCCCCCGGCTCTAGCGCCCACTGCCCGGAGCCTGCGAGCGGCGGGACGTGGGTGGGCCACAGGCCTGGGACTGCGCCTTGCTGCCCTCCGGCAGGGCGACCGCGAGGGCGGGCGGAGGCACCTCGACCTCTCCGCGCGCCTGTCACTCCAGCAGTTATCTGCTGTCCGCACACATAAACCCCATTGTGCTTCTTAGTAACAACAGAAAATAGAGCTTGGCTCGGGTGCAGATCAAATCTGAACTCAGAGTTCCTGCCTCACTTCCGCGCTGGCAGAATGTGTGTAAACAAACTCAGAATGTGACCACCTGAGCCGCCCGGAGGGGGCCCCAGCAGCGGTTCCCAAAGAGCGTCTCCTTGGCAGAGCGGGAGGGAGCAAGCTGCACTGTAACTTTCTATTAAAAGAAATAATACAAATACACACCCCAAAATGGCTCCACTAAAAGACGACAGAACTGGCCGTGTCGGCTTTAAAATACAAGAGCTTCAATGTTTAAGTTCCAAGTCTAACATGCAAGGTCCAGTATGTGTGACGCAGAGTTCAGTGATCTTTTCCACTATTCCTTACTCGATGAAATTATATATCAGACCCGAGGATAAAGGAATCTGACTCTTCAGGGTCATGGCAGAAAATTCAGTACTCTAGGTTATAAATATGGGGGTCTTCCTAGATAAGTAAATACATGGTAGGAACTACCTTGTAAGAATGTTTTTATGTTAGCCCAAGACCTCAGATAAAAATGATTTAACGTGAAAATATAAGATGGGATGTGGCTAGCTAGCCGTGCGTGCTAAGTTTTAGATAAAGAGGTGACTAGTTCTGAGGAAACAGACAACCGCTGCCCCTCAATACTGAAACAAATTTAATCTGCCTTGGGTAACTCCAGGGGCGCCTCACATTCCTTAAATGCAATCTGGTCACCACTCAAGGACAGCCACGATGTGCTGAACAGAGGCTCGCTGGCATGTGGTGGGCAGCGCCCTCCTGGGCAGGTGACTTAACCAACCACCTGCTGTTCTGCTACTGAGCTGCCTAGATTCTGCAGGCAGCTGTGGTGGAGCATTTTCCTTGAAATTTTTGGTAAATCTCAGTTGTTATTCGAATCTTGGTTTGCTGTATCGCTTGGGGCCACTGTAAAGCAGTGGGAACTATAATTTAAAAAAAAAAAAAAAGGCAGCAGAACTTACTACAGAAAGCACCGCTGGATACTTTGTTCCGCGGTTCCCTCATCTGCAACATGGGTAGGAAATCTGCTGCTGTAAAGCATCCAGCACAGTGCTTGGCACATGGAAAAAGTTAAGCAAAATGTCAATCACTACTATTTGCATTAGTGTGTCCGTCCTGGATCAATTCTGCAGGCCAAATGATTTGCTTATTAATAAAATAGATCTACCAACAGAAGTTTGGGGCGGGGTGGGGGCGCAAAAAAACAAAGTCTTTATTTCACTGCTGACCTAACAAATGCATAGCTAATTCACTCTGGACATAATGTCTAAAACAGGAAAACAATGGTTA